TTATGATCATGAGTAGTATTGCCGTATGCTTCGTCCCCGGAGGGGAACTGCGCCCACCAAACATGCATTATTTTCAATGGCATGCAGAGAGTTCAATCACACGATGACACTGAAAGATGTTCTCCAATAAATTTAAAAAAACTAGCCATTTGAAAAAATCAGATGAACGCAATCGTTATCCATGTGCAATGGCGAAGCTAGAGTTGTTCTCTAGTGGGTGTAATCAATAGTTTAAGGAGAACAATCACATAACGATCATCATTTTTTTTGTGTGTGAATTTGGATTGATTTTCACATAACAAATATATAAAATTCAGGTCAATTTTTAAGAGATTCAAATTCAATTTAATTTTTTTTTTAAATTTGATATGAATATTAAACAAATTTTTTTAACAATCTATATCCAAAGAAAATAAATATTAAATATTTGAGCAGACGTGAGTTATTTATATTTGAATTTTATTAAATTATATTTTAGTTCGATTCAATTATGTCAAGTAATACTTAATTTTATCGTATATCTACATATATGAATGTAATAAATCAAATTATATCACAATCGAACTAGAGTTTTGTATAACAAAATTAAATTTGTGAAATAGAACATAATTGATTTGAATTTATAGTCCGTTAGGTAAGGTGGATGAAAAAAATAGAAGGATGAAAAGTCGGAATGATACACTCTCTATTCTTCAAGAAAAGAATCATTCATTCTCTACTTTGCATTTAGTACGAGAGATGGAAAATATGAATGATTGATTTTTTTGTGTTTGGTTAGATGAAAAAAGTTTTTAAATTTTATTTTAAAAAATATATAAATACATAATATGTAATAGATAAATATAATACATGTATATATCAAAGAATATATAGATAAATAACATACATTTCAACACATAATTAATTTTTCATCTATTTTCCTCTTAATTTTGAAGGGATAAATTTTAATGAGTTAAAAGGAAAATGTAATTCATCTACTTTTCCATTTTTCCTATTTTCCTTGCTTACAAAACATTATTTTTTATCTATTCCTCCTCAAACTTTCCTTACAACTTTCTATCATTCTATTTTGAGTAATGCTAGATAGAGTTAAAAACTAGATTTAAAAATTAGACTTGATAATTTCAATCATTGAATAGGTAGTAGGTCCCAATAAATACTGAGACCTATAGTGAAATCAATGGTTGAGATTATCAAGTCTATTTTTTAAGTCCATGTAACATTGCTCTTCTATTTTTTCATCGTACCAAACAAAACATTAAATAATCGGTCAAAGTTATCAATTCATATCTAACTAATCCAATTTTCGCTAAAATTAAAGTTAAATTAAAATCCAACTTGTTAAGAGACCTAAATTTTAAATTTATCAATTAATTTTACAATTTTTTGTGGGGGCAAGGTTTAAAAAAACTTTAGATTTTTTAAAAATTTCAATGGGGGCAACTAATCCCATGCCCCCACGTTGTATTCGTCCCCAATCCCTGTGTCCTCCCATAGCAGTGTCATTAAGGAAATCAACATATTTCTAATATTTTTGATCAGTGTTTGCAAAGTATTTAGAGCGATAATAAGTGTTAATATTTTCAAATGATCCATTCTGAATTCTAATCCGAGAATTAATATCTGAAAAATAGAAGTATGACTAGGTTTTTTGTTTTTGCTGGTGTAAGACTTTCCTATACTCATCATAGTCAAATATCAATAGGTTTATCTTTGATATATAGAGCACGTTTCAGAAAATTTACTTCACTTATCAAAGCATGCATACCCTGTGAACTGATGTATATTTCAAACAAGCACATAACCGACCATTGCACAATAGTCAACAATTTATATCTATATATTATATATATTGTATTACGACCTTAGATGATACGTGTCACACCCGATAATCATATGTATTGATTATTTTTCAGGGGTTAATCATCGATTAGTTTACAATTAACTATCAGTAAACAAACCCGCACATTAATCATTGGAGGAGAACACTGCCAAGAAATTAATTATTTTAAAAAAGTTGAATAAAATGTTTGAGATGTCAGGTGGGGGTAGTTGGCTTGGTTGGGGGGAAAGGCCATGGGAGGTTGTAACTGTTACTGGGTTCATCTCCTCTCGATGCTTTCATACACTTGACTTCTTGATTAAAAACATATAAAACAGACAACATAAAACTTTCATAAAGTGTAAATCTTATAAAATGTGATAGTTTATGACTACGTTAAGAATTTCAACAGAGAAAAAGAAAAAAACTTATAGTACAAAATAGACCCAAAAGGTTAATCGTAAAATAGTTTTTGATTTAACATTTATTTTGCAATTTTTTCTTTATTTTTTTATGGAAGTTTTGGCAGCTTGGGTTCAATGAAATTTGACGCAAATGACTTACTTTTAACTTGATCGAAAATGTGATTAAAGTGTAGTGGTGGTGAAAGGGCGATGGTGGTGGAAGTATGGTGGCTTTTTCTAAATTTTAAAAATGCTGTTTCAAAAAATATACAAAATTGCTTTAACCTGTTCCCTATAAATTTACTCAATTTTTGTTTTCAATTTTCAAAAAATAAAAACAAAAAAAAATTACATACTTTCATCAAGAAACTATTTCTGAAAATAGAATACAGTTTTTGACATGCAACCTAAACATGACTTATGATACCGACTTTTTTATTTTTTGTTAGTGATATATATAGTATGTAAAAAAATAAAAATACTCTAAAAATGATAAAATTTACTGATAAAAATTGATAAAATTTCCTAAAAATTATGACAAGTGAACCCAAAAAATAATAGATAAACTTAAAATTAAGTGCACCTAAAAAATTAATAAATTTATTTTCAAAAAATAATATAAATATGCAAAAATATGATAAAAATTACAATACCCCCGTTTTGTTTTTCAGTACTCTAATCAAACCCTTTCTTTCACATGCTGGAAGGAATTTCACACCCACACTCTTATCACACTCTTTTTTGACTTATCATTGCATGTCAATCTCAATCGTCTCTTGCACTGCGCATTTTTATTACATTAAACTTCTTTTTGGATTTTATTGTAGTTTTATATGTCCAATCCACAATAATTTTTCATATTATTTAATCAATATATGGATTTTTAATTTACACATAAGTTGTGAAAATATAACNCCCATTTTTATTACATTAAACTTCTTTTTGGATTTTATTGTAGTTTTATATGTCCAATCCACAATAATTTTTCTTATTATTTAATCAATATATGGATTTTTAATTTACACATAAGTTGTGAAAATATAACAACTCTCAACGAAATTGAGTATTTATGAGGCCTTCCGTTTATTTGTTTCGTAAACAAGTGAATTTAACACGATAATATTAATAAATAAATTAGGTATAAGTGACGTTAATAATGTAAAAAAAAAAAACAAGTACACAATTCAGTTTATATATCAATTTTACATAATTTATTTACGATACGAATTTTATAATATATAATTTATTAAATATAAATTAATAAATAAATTAAATATTTTTTTTAGAGGCCGACCTTCACTCAATTTCAATTGTTTATTGTTAATTGTGTTTCAACGCCTGTGTGNATAAGTGACGTTAATAATGTAAAAAAAAAAAACAAGTACACAATTCAGTTTATATATCAATTGTACATAATTTATTTACGATATGAATTTTATAATATATAATTTATTAAATATAAATTAATAAATAAATTAAATATTTTTTTTAGAGACCGACCTTCACTCAATTTCAATTGTTTATTGTTAATTGTGTTTCAACGCCTGTGTGGGGCCGGAATTTCAGTGCACCAAGGTATCATTAAATCCAACTCTGGACAAATTTGGAATCCGGAAAAAGTGACGATTAGTGACTGGTGGGGGTGCTTGTCGACTGGGCCACTATATAGAGAGAGGGAAAGGGCCCCTTCAGGCCTCAGTAGGAGCCATTCAGCTTTGTGCTCTGCCTCTCTCCGGTAGTGCGAAAAGGTTACATAGTTTCGCCACTAACCTTATAGCCTGTGTTCTCATTCTTGATCAATATTGTAATTATCAGATAAATTTCTGTGATCGGTGTGTCATTTGAGCTGCAAATGAAGCGGAAGTAGATCTTGGTCTCCGATTGTTGAGGATTCGATCGACGGACATGGAGGTCAACGAATTTGACCTTTATAAACAATTATTCATCTGAGCCGCTTCAATTTGTGGTAAAAAAAGCTGTTCTGGTTTGAAATCTTTGGTAAATTAGCAATAATTATCTTTCCTGTGTTTTGTTGCCGAGCTAAAAACAGTAGAAAATAGAGCACTTTTTTTGTTATTTGATTATTTCTCATAATGCGTTTAATTTCTGAGAAAACAGTAGGTAATAAGATGGAAAAACGAGTTTTTAGTTGAAAATCAATATTGCACAAGTGCTATTAAATTTCGGTGATTCTCTGGAGTTGAGTGGGTAGAAACATAATTACGACGTTAATTGTTATTTTCTCTTTGAATTTCTCGGCCACCAAACGGGGTGTTATAGTCAATTGACTGCAAACTTCTGGTATTTGTTGTTTTTTGTGCTTCAGGTGTACCTGTTCTCCTCAATTTCACGAACACAATTTCCATGACTCTGGCTTTGATTTCAATTTGAGCTACAGCATTCGTTGTTCTCTCTGAGTCTTATTTATATACTTGATTCTCCAGTATATTAGTTCTGAATTTATGGAGAATACAATCCAGAAGGTCCAGGGCTTGACTTTCTCCTTTAGTTGTCGCCATCTTTAGCGGCTTTTAGTTTATATTGCTCGTTACATCGATTTCTAGTTTTCGGTTCTTGAGAAAATAGTAGAAAAGATGATCGGTTTGTTATCAACTTCCACTGGGCCACCGATAAAACGAAGGGCTGGTCTTTGGAGAACACAAGCGGGACGAGGATCATACCGGGGAAGTTAGTGTGGATTGTTGGGCATAATTTGGCTTAGTCAAACCTTAAATTACTGCTGGACCTTTTTTTGTTTCTTCAAAAGTTAATCGATGGAGACCACTCCTCTGAGGCAGTTCCTGCAGAGTGTATGCTGCAATTCTCCTTGGAATTATGCTGTGTTTTGGAAGCTTCAGTTTCAGAACCAAATGTAAGCAATCTTCAAGCCTATTTTGTGTCCTGGTAATCTGAAATTCTCAACTTTATTCAATTCTTGTGCTGCCAACATTTATCATTATCACATGTCATTTTTTTAACTTCCTTTTTTATTTGACTTGGATTCAGTATGGGAGTCCTTTTGCTTAAGTAGTGTAGACCATCCACTTTTGTTTCATACTGATAGAAACTGTGTAGAGTGTACCCGTTGATTGGCAGAGGCTATGAGGGGATCAAATTGATTTTAGGATATTGTTTACTCAGATATTGTATTGTCTCCACTTGAAATAAAAGTTCTAAACCCAACATATGACATCATTTCAAGCATGGTAAAAATTGTGGCTAGTTATATTTTCAACACAAACCAAGTTATCCCCTTTAAATAGAAAATGGTAGTTTTGTTGCTTGGATGGATTGTTAATGTTTAGCATTTGCTTGTCTAAAAGTAATGGTCACCGTCATTAACTTTTATGTCAAATTTGATATTATTTACCTGGTAATTCAGGGTTTTGACATGGGAGGATGGATGCTGCAACATCCAAAGGCCGAGAGATTCCATGGAAAGCCTAATAGATAATCTCTGCTTTAAAGGCGCAGATGAAGTATCTTCTAATTGGGGATCGAGTATACTTGATGGAAATTTGGATCAATGCTCAATTGGACTGGCACTGGCTGAAATGTCCAGTGTTCATTATGTATTTGGAGAAGGGTAATTCTAGTCTTGACTTCTGTTATTTCCTGTAGTGTAAATATTTGTGCTATCATTTGATAAAATTGTTTTACCCAGAGTAAACTAGTAGGACATATTTCGCTGATTACTCCATGATTAGAGGTTCTGACTCTGGATCCCCAAGAATCAGTCTTATAGTAATTTTTGTTTAGCCTCTGCTCACATTTTTCTCAGATCTTCTGTATCATTCTTAGTCCTCGGAGCTTGATTTGCTAAAACTTAACCCTTCTTCCCTTCCCGTCATCGGTGGGACCACCAGATAAATTTGATATAAAAGCCCAACAGGGTGTGGAGACGGCCTAGGGTGTCACTGAATCATGCTCAAAGGGATTACTCAACTTTACTGATTGGGTAATCGCTGTAGGCAACCAAGGCAGGCGCTTCATGAAGAAGAATGAGTTGAATCCTGAGCAAGAACTTGTAGAGTGATATTTTTNACGGCCTAGGGTGTCACTGAATCATGCTCAAAGGGATTACTCAACTTTACTGATTGGGTAATCGCTGTAGGCAACCAAGGCAGGCACTTCATGAAGAAGAATGAGTTGAATCCTGAGCAAGAACTTGTAGAGTGATATTTTTTCAAAACACCCATCTCTATAGATCATCTTTATATGAATGAGCACTTAGAACATTAGGTCTTCAAAAAAAGCACCACGTCCGTTTTCATGTAACTTCTGTTAGTATTAGAGCTAGAGAAACAACTCCCTAGGTTGCGGAGGCTCAATTTGCAGAAATATTTAATGAAGGCCCTCAACAAAAAGAAAAAGAAGTAAAATCGCTTCTACTGCCATCGCATTCCCGTATGACCAGGTCNCTTCAAAAAAAGCACCACGTCTGTTTTCATGTAACTTCTGTTAGTATTAGAGCTAGAGAAACAACTCCCTAGGTTGTGGAGGCTCAATTTGCAGAAATATTTAATGAAGGCCCTCAACAAAAAGAAAAAGAAGTAAAATCGCTTCTACTGCCATCGCATTCCCGTATGACCAGGTCAAAAAATTAAACCTTCTGCAGTATTGATGCATGGGATATGGATTCCCTAAGCAATACTGTATCATCCTTTGGTTTCTTAGCTGACAATTAGAATGTTGGAGACTCCTTGTTCCTCACCAGGACTCTAATTTAGATGCTGACCAATTTGCATATTGAACCAGGATAGTAGCAAGCTTAACTGTGTGCTTAAATGCGAGTATCATATATGAAGAGGGAATGGTGAATTGTAAATGTTGGTAACTGACTTTGAAATTTTACTATTTAACCAGGATTGTTGGTGAGGTGGCATCTAAAGGGAACCATCGCTGGATTTTATTGGACAATAAATCAGCTGGTGAATTAATTCCCAAGGTGAATTCCAATCTGTGTGGTTAATGTATCTTTTGGTAGAAAGAAACTGGTTGCAGTCTTTAGTCCTGCATGTATATTTCACTTATTTGATTCTTCTGTTGACAGTGTCCAGATGACTGGCTACTTCAGTTTGTGGCGGGTATCAAGGTAATACTGAATTTTGCTTTGATAATTGGTTTTGACCCACAATTTTGGGGTCTTTGGGTGAATCTTCTGCTTATTTTTGTATGATGCTCTTGCAGACTATTTTACTTGTTCCTGTTGTTTCACATGGAGTTCTGCAACTTGGCTCCTTAAATACGGTGCGTGTTTTTTCTTTTTTTGACCGACTATGGATTCATATAGGGCATTGGTCCGGTTTAGGTTATTATCCTAGTGGTGTTAGAGATTTTTGTTGTGCATATGGTTATGTTATGGAAGCCTAAGCAATTCATATCAAGCATGCCAAGCAATACTAGGGAAAACCCTTCTCAATGTGAATCTCACTCTCTCTCTTGTTGGGCATGTGCGTCAGTGGGTTTGTCTAATGTGTGGCTTTACTATCCTATCAGGTTGCTGAAGATCTGGCGGTGGTTGATTGTCTCATAAATAAATTTAATTCAATTCAAACTGTGGGGCATTCTGCATCTTTTACCTCAGCAAAGAAATTCCCAGCTCAGACATCCTCATTAGCGATGTCTATCCTCATGGATAACTTACATGAGTCGGTGGCCATTAGCATGAATGGAATTAAACCCGAAGATTTGAATTCCGTTGACAGTGTTGAACCAAGAAATCAACTGCCAACTACAAATAAACTGACACCTTTGTGCATGGTTCAAGATTCCTGTAACATATTTGAAAAATATATGCCTAAAATTCCCTACGGTGGAAGTGAAAATGACGGCAATGTGGGTCTGAATAAATTAGAAAAACCTCTCAATCAATCAGTTTTTTGCAACAATGATGAGATGATACAGGGTAACCTGTTNATGGTGGAAGTGAAAATGACGGCAATGTGGGTCTGAATAAATTAGAAAAGCCTCTCAATCAATCAGTTTTTTGCAACAATGATGAGATGATACAGGGTAACCTGTTCAGATTTTCTTGTCTGGAAGAAGAATTACAGGCCATTTCTTATTCTGACTGTTGCAATTTGGGAATCTTTGGAGACTATGCGAATGAAATGATGAATGCTTATTATGATGAAGGCGTAATGGGACAACCATTTGTAGACAAGGATGCTAATGAGACAGTTCATGAAAGTGGAAGCAGTGTCTTCAGCTTTCCCAGACACTGTGAGTTGCATAAAGCACTGGGATNGCAATGGGACAACCATTTGTAGACAAGGATGCTAATGAGACAGTTCATGAAAATGGAAGCAGTGTCTTCAGCTTTCCCAGACACTGTGAGTTGCATAAAGCACTGGGATCTGCTTTCCAGGGTCATAACAATCAGGAATTGTACATCTCAGGCAAGGATACATGTATCAGCTCAAGTCTCATCAGTAATGGAGATCCCATGCATAATAATGCACCATCATACTGGGAATTCGGGGGATCATGTGTCACGCAATATGATGCTGAACATCTCCTGGAATCTGTTGTTTCCACTGCATGTAGTGGTTCAGATGATAATTCATCCAAAAACCTCAACAGTGCCAAGTCATCTACAACCTCCTCAGGACAATATGCTGCTTCCTCAACTGTACAATGTCAAACTGAAGGAAGTGCCTTGGTGGAAGCAGTTACAGTTCCATGGAACCTTGGGACTTCTGCATTTCTTGCTAGGGGCAGAACTGCTACTACTAATCCAGATCCTGCAGCTTCTTCATATGAGAGCACGATTAGTGCATTGATTGAGGAGGAGGAGCATCAGAAAAAGGGGTCTGGTTACCTGCACCCTCACAAGGGATCAAACCTATCTAATTTCAGCAAAAGAAGGGCCAGGCGTGGTGAAAACAAGAAGCCAAGACCAAGGGACAGGCAGTTGATTCAGGACCGTGTCAAGGAGCTACGTGAACTTGTCCCAAATGGAGCAAAAGTGAGTGTTTTTTCTGGGTTAGGGTTGTTGCAGCGCACACAGAATATGATATAATTGCTATCTCTCACACTCACCCTTTCTTGGATAATAATTTTCCGTTTCTTTCTTGTATATACAGTGTAGCATTGATGGTCTCTTGGATCGAACCATAAAGCATATGGAGTTCTTAAGAAGTGTTACTGATCAGGCTTATAAGTTGAGGCAGTCGGTTCATCAAGAAGTAAGTGATTGTTGTCCAAATTATGTGCAGTTTTAAATGTATCTGTGGTTCATATTTATCCTGATCATTTCCTCAGCAAGTCATTTGTGTCAGGTGTATGAAACCAGGTGCTTTAATTTTCTAAAAATCTGTGGATAATTTTCTATGTGCTTTAGCACAATACTGATGGCATATCAGCATATGAAGGCATGTGACGAAGTCACTTGTAGAATTTGAAAATCATATTCAAGCTTTGAAAAGTCTATGGATGGCTCTAATATATTTGAATATCCTCATCTTGAATGCACAAGAGTACTTGAGCATTTTAGATAGTTGCTCGTTGGCTATTCAGATAGAATAAGACGACTTGACCTTCCTTTTTACTTTCATTACCTAAGTATTTGGATTTGGATGATTAATTGTCTTCTGCTTTAANCATCCCGCTTTACTTTCATTACCTAAGTATTTGGATTTGGATGATTAATTGTCTTCTGCTTTAAGCCAATAATCCACAATCTATATGCAGCAACCTGCAATATCATGAGTCTGAAAATTGTGTGATAACTAAAAAACTCTTTCCAGGTAAGCGGTCAGACGAATACAAAATCGCCTGGAATCAAAGCTGGTGGACAGAATGGGAGGAGCTGGGCTTTTGAGTTGGGAAGCGAGAAACAACTGTGCCCCATTGTGGTGGAAGATCTTGAATACCCAGGGCACATGCTGATAGAGGTCTGCCTAGTTCTTTTCTAATATATCAATGTTGCTAGTTTTATAGAATCATAATCCCCATCCATCCACTCCCATGACCCTCCTCCTTCCTTTCTGACAGGGTAAAACGAATTGATACCTCAAAGACAACAAACCTATTAGTTCTTTCATGAAAACCTTTATAATTATGCTTGCATACTTTTCAAAACTTTTGAGATAGATGCAGTGGAGTATCCACGCTCTGCATCTGTTTACGTTTGCGTACTTCTAACTCAACTTTTCTAACAGATGTTATGCAATGACCATGGACGCTTCCTAGAGATTGCTGAGGCAATCCGTGGTGTGGATTTGACTATCTTGGAGGGTGCAATGGAAACTCGTTCAGGCAGCACTTGGGCTCACTTCGTTGTTGAGGTATAAAGTTAATTTGACACATGGATATATGATATGCTTTTCTCTGTCTCTAATGGAAAACATTGGTATTAGGGCTGATAATTTTTAACATGATCCATTAATCGAACACGAACTGCTTATAAATTTTATCATTTATGAGTTTGGGTCATAATTGGTTGGCCAGCTAAACCCACTTGATATTTGGGTTTTATATTGATTGAGCCAACTTTGACATGAATGCAATTTACATGATTAGAGTGTGCGAGCTCGACACGATATGACATCTCTTTACATAATTTGCTTATTCGACATGCAATCAGCACGAAGTTAACACAACTCGCCTGTCGTGCGCGAGGTCAACCCGAGATTACCAAATTTTAATTTAACATTAATGGACCAGATCACTATTGGATTGATGACCCAGTTAATAATGGGCCATGTATGGATCAAACTAATTTTGACATGACACGACTTGCATGATATAGATACTTCATTTGGCAACCCATTCCAACCCTAATTGCAATGGTATGCATGTTTTTGTGTCCATGGCTAACTTTTCTGAAGTCAATTTCTTCTATGCATGCAGGCTTCAAGAGAATTCCATCGGTTGGACATCTTCTGGCCACTTATGCAACTTCTGCAGCATAACCGAACTCCATTCTCAAGCAAAATTTGATGCCCCACATCCACCATCAGTTTAGTGGAAGTGTGGAACTGTTTGTCCTTGTAATGATGTACACTTCAAGAATGTTTGTCTATCCAAACCATGATTACTACATATTTACAAGACCGGAATGTATGTCTATATGGGTACTTTCTCTTCTATTTTCATAGTACTCCTTGATCATCCTTATACAGGCAAACCTAGTCCTAGAGCATTGAAGAATATGCAGTATAAAAGGTGGCAAATTCCGAAGCAAATGAAGATCAGAACCCACATTAGCCGCTTTAGAGTTCAGCATAGTGAAAACCGTGTTTCTGGCCCGTGAGTTCAAAAGGATAGCGGAAAATATCTTCGTGTAGCCAACTAAATTTTGGTAGACAATGGGATGCTTTTTCTTTGAATTACAGATTGACGGGATTCCTTTTATTGGGTGAGTGTAAATGTTGCGCATGTAAACCAGTGGACATGAGGGGCTGCAGATTCATTACGTTTTTACGGCCAATTCGCCAAGTTTCAATTTACTACTGGGGCGAAGTGAAGGTTGTGGTAGAATGACTATTTTCTTTCAGTTAGTACTGTACTGTTATTGACAGTTTTATTGTACTTAAATCAGGTGTTCCTTGGACCTCGTAGAACAAATGGGATCATTCCACTTGAGCAAGATTGTGTTATAGAAACATAAGTTTTGTGTGGTTTGTGTTTCAAATAACGGTATTTAAAAATTATTTTTAAAAAGAGTTTTAGAAAAATGTGTTTTGATATTTTTTGTCACATAATTTGTTTGTGAGCAATGCTACATGGACTTAAAAAGTAGATTTGATAATTTCAACCATTAATTTCACTGTGGATCTCAGAATTTATTAGGACCAACTACCTATTCAATGGTTAAGATTATTAAGTCTAATTTTTAAGTCTAGTTTTTAAGTTCATGTAACATTACTTTTTGTTTAGATATATAATTATAAAAACAGTTTTATGGAAAAGAAAACAACAATACTTATTTGGATAGTAACTCAAAATACAGTGAAAATAGAAATATGGTGGTGGACGTAGTGGAAAGGTGGTGGTGGTGATCAAAATGTGGTGGTGGTGGTGGTGGTTTTTTTTATATTCTGAAAAAAGTTGTTTCCAAAAACACACAAAATAATTTTAATTTTTTTTTTTAAATCTATCTATTTTTTATTCTCAATTTTCAAAAAATAAAAATAAAAANTCGTGGAAAGGTGGTGGTGGTGGTGGAAGTGTGGTGGTGATCAAAATGTGGTGGTGGTGGTGGTGGTGGTGGAAGTGTGGTGGTGATCAAAATGTGGTGGTGGTGGTGGTTTTTTTTATATTCTGAAAAAAGTTGTTTCCAAAAACACACAAAATAATTTTAATTTTTTTTTTTAAATCTATCTATTTTTTATTCTCAATTTTCAAAAAATAAAAATAAAAAATAGTTGACAACAGAACTGTTGTCGAAAATAGAAAAATAGTTTTCCTGAGATGCAAACCAACAAAGCCATATATTTTACATGGAGCGAAAGATTGTATTTCTCCATTCATTCTCAGTGGTGTGAGTTTGGTGAACTTGACTGTCCTTTTATTGGTTGCGCTTTTGCTTTACAGAGAATCAGCTTTCCTATTTTTCTTCTTCATTAGCTTATCCATTACCCGCCGGAAAACATAAATCCATTCATACCAAAATTACTCGAGACACCATAATTCAGTAAAAGCTTCCTAAGTTTTTGCATTCTTACATGAGCCTTATTTAATAAAATGTGAATGGTGCCCTGTAGTACAGTGGACTACAGAAAAACTTGAAGGAATTGCTGAAGGTGGGAGAATGAGGGAGGGTATGAGTTGCTAGTAACCAGCTGCTGTAAGTCCACCATCAACAACAATAACCTGCCCAGTAATGTATGAAGCAGTTTGAAGGCAAAGGAATGCCACAAGTCCTGAAATCTCATTAGGTTCAGCAATGGGACGAAGAGGAACTCGAGCCATCATCGGCACGAACATCTTCGCTATGGATTTTTCGACATCCTCCTGGAGAAGATAAAATTCATTAGCTGATCAATCAGTACTATGCGTTTACTCGTTAAGAAATCAAAAAAAACAAGGAAAAAAAATTCAGCCATATTTCGTAATGGGTTTATTAGACAAGAGGGTTTAATGTGTGAGAAATAGTAGTGGTTTGATAATGGTGGTTCGGACAACCCCCGGTGCAACAGTGTTGATGCGAATGTTGTCCTTTGCCAATTCACAAGCCAAGTTCTTTTTAAGTTGATTGATTGCACCTGAGAACAGTGGTAAAAGTTTGAAATCTATGTGAGTAATGACTTTTTGACCCGATTTTGATGACAATAATCAATCGCATTCCTATACATCTCGATTCTTGTGGTATTCAAAATCCAAGTATTCCATTACTAGGATTACTGCTATCTAAACGGGGCCAAATTCAATTAGTTTTTCCACTGCAGAAACTGAAAAACATACCTTTAGATGCTGCGTAGACTGAGATAGCAGGTAGACCCGTGACACCAGCAATAGAGGAAATAAAGATGATATTTCCAAGTCCAGATGCTTTGGGCATAGGGTATGCGAGTTGGGAGAGATGGTATGGGGCCTCAATATTAGTATTCATTACATTTGAGAAATCCTCAGCAGTATGGTCTGTGGCTCGCTTTAGTAGACTTATTGCAGCATTGTTTATCTGAAGGTGTAACAATAGAACAATTTTCAGTGTAAGAAGTGCAGAGTCTTACTTCAAAGAGAGATAAAAAATCATAGGGATTTAGATCATCTTTATTACTTTTTAACACAAATTTACTCAATTGTAACCGTGTATGAGCGAGAGACCTACATATAAATAATGAGTCCCATATGAATAGAAGATGATTAATTTATTATTGAACAAAATTATGTGAAAAAGTAATATAGAGGATCTCAATCCAAATTATACCATCCATGCTTTTTAGTTCTTCCTTTAGCAATGTCCTTTTTTTTTCTTTTGTTTTATTTTTAATTTTTTTTTCATGTGAACATATTCTTGTTTTTTAATTTTAAAGTTTTTGTCTTTTTTTTCCCCTCATTCTGGGATCTGTTTGGACCTAAAATATAAAATTATATGAATATTTGATGCATTGGCATCTGGCAAGTGTGAAGACATTAAGAGGAGACCACGTGGCAAAATTTGAAAAGGCGAGAAATTGTCAGCTATAACCTTGTTTAAAATGAGAAATAACTACTTGGAAGTTATCAGCTAGATAACTGTCAATGGAGACAGAATCGTCGAAGATAATGGCTATAAAAGATAGAAAATGAAGAAATTGAAGGACACATTCAAACCCCCACAAGACCTAAGATCTGGACATTTTTAGGAGTAATTTTCAATTAGTTTTAGGGAGTAGTTATTGCTGTAATAAATCCTATTAACTCAATCTTTTATGTAACCGAAATCCTTTTAATTGAATTAATAAAGAAAATATCTTTTATTAGTTTCATATACTGTGTGATTATCTTTTTAGAACTCATCCAAGAAAGTTTTAAAACAAAACAATTGAACCCATCTTAAACAATTGCCCGAAGTTGTCTATTGATTGAGTTTTTTCTGTTGATTATAAAAGATTTTGGTGCAACAGAATCCTAAGTGAATGAATTTTTTTTTTTTTGGTTTAGTATGAGGTGACACCAATCCGTTTTTTTCTCTACAAAATAATAAATAATGATAAGGCCATCAAGTCACTATGCTTCTTCTATTAATTATTATAAAACTTTCCAGATTATTAATCTCCCAAATCAATTGAGGGGATTTTGTTTAGTTGTGAATGTGACAACAGCGGACTGGGTATACGAAGCCTCTTTCATGTGCACGTCAGGGATGTGACTTTGATATTTTCTCAGTTAGAATCTAGTGGTGTCTGAATACCCCAACCCGTAGAGGCTCCAGAAAAAATTATTTTAATTTGTCGGATAATTGAAGACAATTTCTACGTCACTCATCGGTCTGAATCCCCACCTCCTCTAGAAGTGTGACAGTTTACAACCAATGGTTCGGGTCCAAAACATAAGCTTCTAATTTCAGTGAAGACAAAAATAAACTATAAATTCAGATATTTTGAACTAAAAATTTGGCAACTCGCTTTGGCTACGTCACGAGAGATTACTCATGAATTCTCCAACTTTAACGTGAATAAACTATTTTTGACTAGATTGAAAGAAGATTTAGTTGACATATTTGTAAGTTAGACCAGACACCTTGACCACATTAAAAAAAAAATTGTAAATTCCGTGGTTGTGTTGGGCCTACCACTAACAGAGGCCTAGCACTTAAGCACTTTGTTCAAGACCAGCAAGAACCATGAGAAGCATAGAAGTGCTTGGGATTGCATAGCAGAGAGCCTAAACTTACAAGGATGTTGAGTTTGCATAGGAGAGAGGCTAAACTTAAAAGGATGTTGAGTTTGCCGTCAAAAACAGAAGAGACAGTTCTCATCAGCTCCTCCCTCTGTGGTCTTGATGATAAGTCACACACTGAACCGGTTACTTTAAATCCCTTGGCTTTCCATTCTTGCAACCTTTCATTGAGCTCTATCTGGGTCCTTGAGCATGTGTGTATAACAGCACCAAACCCAGCTATTTCCTCCACTATGGCATACCTAAAATTCGAAAATAAACCCACCATAATCCACTACATATATAGATAGACTTATAACAAACATATGTGTGTGTGTGAGAGAGAGAGAGAGAGAGTAGGCTGTGTGGTGTGAGAGAGATATAAATTGTCACTCACCCAATACCTTTGGTACCACCGGTGACAAGAGCAGTCATTCCCTTAAGAGACCATCTCTGCTCCCTGCTAAGCTCCTCGGCCGTGCTAGTCTCCTACGTGTTTTTTAGCTCTTCACGTGCCATGTTCTTTTACAGAAACTATTTTTGCTAACCTAAATTCAAAAGTACAAATACACCACAGAAACTCAGAATGATAAGCAGCTCAGTCGGGGCTTGTTCTTGTATAATTTCCATTTGATAACACATAGGCAGATAGATTCGGTGGTGAGCCATTTGTGACTAGTATTTTATGTGAAATTAACGGTTGGGAATGGTCAGAACAATCTAATCTTTCTTCCTCTTTTTTTTTTTTTTTTTGAGAAATATTTCAATCACTCCGCTTCTCGTTTACCATATCTTTAAACACACTTTCTTTATTATCTAGAGCATCATTGACACCCTTTCTAATTTAACTTTAAACATTACTGACACACATTTTAGTTTATATTTAAATATTACTGACACCCCTTACCATTAAATCATGGTTTTTAACAAATTTTTTTTATCTAAAATTTTAAAATTGCCCTTACATAAATTCTAAACAATCTTTCTATATAAAATTTGAGTCAATTAAAATTCATATTATATCTAATTAAATTTTAATTTTTTTACGTATTAAAATTTGAACTCTACTTGAGTTGTTAGTGCCAATTAAAATTCACTCCGAGTTGATTAAAATTTATATATTTTTATTTATTAAAATTCGTGCCAATTAAAATTTAATTTAAGTTGATTAAAATTCATTTTTTATGCATTAAAATTTGAGTCTATTAAAATTTATATTTTTTTATGTATCAAAATTTAGGCCAATTAAAATTCAATGCAAGTTAATTAAAATTTGATTAGAGCCGATTAAAAATGAAAGGGAGCCGATTAAAATTTGCTAACTTTTTTGTGTGTGTGTGTTGTGTGCGTGTCTGAGAAGTAGAGACAGACAAAGAAAGGGAGTAAGAGAGGGGATTAACTGTACAACTAATTGATTAGTGGGGGGTTAGTCGTCGTTGGAGGTGGATGGGTCAGTAATGGATTGTAGATTGTTTGAATTTTGTCAGAGAGAATGTCATCATTAACAATTCACTAAACCTTCTCTTCATTAGTCCCCTAAATGTCCTCGTATCAATATGAACGCACTTTTCCCAATGGAGTTAATGCACAACTACCTAAATTATTCACATAAATAGTCAAATTAACACAATATATATTTCTAGAAATAGTAAAATATTTTGATGCAGTTACATAAGAGTAAAGTTACCAGATTATGTTGGCCCCATCCACAAAAGTTCATTGTATATATTCTATCGTTCTCGTTGGCAAATGTACTCCAATCCTACAAAGATTGAACCTCATTATAAAACTAAAAATTGAAACATTGGAAAGATCATATAATAAGTAGAAATAAACTTGTTTAAACTATATCATTTAATTGTAAGAATCTTATAACAGAACTTCAGGCTAAATAATATTTGTAGTGCAATTTGACCCATCTTCAGGGAGGAGGACACTAATACGATCCGAAGATGTGCNATTATAAATTCAGATATTCTGAACTAAAAATTTGGCAACTCGCTTTGGCTACGTCACGAGAGATTACTCATGAATTCTCCAACTTTAACGTGAATAAACTATTTTTGACTAGATTGAAAGAAGATTTAGTTGACATATTTGTAAGTTAGACCAGACACCTTGACCACATTAAAAAAAAAATTGTAAATTCCGTGGTTGTGTTGGGCCTACCACTAACAGAGGCCTAGCACTTAAGCACTTTGTTCAAGACCAGCAAGAACCATGAGAAGCATAGAAGTGCTTGGGATTGCATAGCAGAGAGCCTAAACTTACAAGGATGTTGAGTTTGCATAGGAGAGAGGCTAAACTTAAAAGGATGTTGAGTTTGCCGTCAAAAACAGAAGAGACAGTTCTCATCAGCTCCTCCCTCTGTGGTCTTGATGATAAGTCACACACTGAACCGGTTACTTTAAATCCCTTGGCTTTCCATTCTTGCAACCTTTCATTGAGCTCTATCTGGGTCCTTGAGCATGTGTGTATAACAGCACCAAACCCAGCTATTTCCTCCACTATGGCATACCTAAAATTCGAAAATAAACCCACCATAATCCACTACATATATAGATAGACTTATAACAAACATATGTGTGTGTGTGAGAGAGAGAGAGAGAGAGTAGGCTGTGTGGTGTGAGAGAGATATAAATTGTCACTCACCCAATACCTTTGGTACCACCGGTGACAAGAGCAGTCATTCCCTTAAGAGACCATCTCTGCTCCCTGCTAAGCTCCTCGGCCGTGCTAGTCTCCTACGTGTTTTTTAGCTCTTCACGTGCCATGTTCTTTTACAGAAACTATTTTTGCTAACCTAAATTCAAAAGTACAAATACACCACAGAAACTCAGAATGATAAGCAGCTCAGTCGGGGCTTGTTCTTGTATAATTTCCATTTGATAACACATAGGCAGATAGATTCGGTGGTGAGCCATTTGTGACTAGTATTTTATGTGAAATTAACGGTTGGGAATGGTCAGAACAATCTAATCTTTCTTCCTCTNTACTCATGAATTCTCCAACTTTAACATGAATAAACTACTTTTGACTAGATTGAAAGAAGATTTAGTTGAGATATTTGTAAGTTAGACCAGACACCCTGACCACATTAAAAAAAAAAATTGTAAATTCCGTGGTTGTGTTGGGCCTACCACTAACAGAGGCCTAGCACTTAAGCACTTTGTTCAAGACCAGCAAGAACCATGAGAAGCATAGAAGTGCTTGGGATTGCATAGCAGAGAGCCTAAACTTACAAGGATGTTGAGTTTGCATAGGAGAGAGGCTAAACTTAAAAGGATGTTGAGTTTGCCGTCAAAAACAGAAGAGACAGTTCTCATCAGCTCCTCCCTCTGTGGTCTTGATGATAAGTCACACACTGAACCGGTTACTTTAAATCCCTTGGCTTTCCATTCTTGCAACCTTTCATTGAGCTCTATCTGGGTCCTTGAGCATGTGTGTATAACAGCACCAAACCCAGCTATTTCCTCCACTATGGCATACCTAAAATTCGAAAATAAACCCACCATAATCCACTACATATATAGATAGACTTATAACAAACATATGTGTGTGTGTGAGAGAGAGAGAGAGAGAGTAGGCTGTGTGGTGTGAGAGAGATATAAATTGTCACTCACCCAATACCTTTGGTACCACCGGTGACAAGAGCAGTCATTCCCTTAAGAGACCATCTCTGCTCCCTGCTAAGCTCCTCGGCCGTGCTAGTCTCCTACGTGTTTTTTAGCTCTTCACGTGCCATGTTCTTTTACAGAAACTATTTTTGCTAACCTAAATTCAAAAGTACAAATACACCACAGAAACTCAGAATGATAAGCAGCTCAGTCGGGGCTTGTTCTTGTATAATTTCCATTTGATAACACATAGGCAGATAGATTCGGTGGTGAGCCATTTGTGACTAGTATTTTATGTGAAATTAACGGTTGGGAATGGTCAGAACAATCTAATCTTTCTTCCTCTCTTTTTTTTTTTTTTTGAGAAATATTTCAATCACTCCGCTTCTCGTTTACCATATCTTTAAACACACTTTCTTTATTATCTAGAGCATCATTGACACCCTTTCTAATTTAACTTTAAACATTACTGACACACATTTTAGTTTATATTTAAATATTACTGACACCCCTTACCATTAAATCATGGTTTTTAACAAATTTTTTTTATCTAAAATTTTAAAATTGCCCTTACATAAATTCTAAACAATCTTTCTATATAAAATTTGAGTCAATTAAAATTCATATTAGATCTAATTAAATTTTAATTTTTTTACGTATTAAAATTTGAACTCTACTTGAGTTGTTAGTGCCAATTAAAATTCACTCCGAGTTGATTAAAATTTATATATTTTTATTTATTAAAATTCGTGCCAATTAAAATTTAATTTAAGTTGATTAAAATTCATTTTTTATGCATTAAAATTTGAGTCTATTAAAATTTATATTTTTTTATGTATCAAAATTTAGGCCAATTAAAATTCAATGCAAGTTAATTAAAATTTGATTAGAGCCGATTAAAAATGAAAGGGAGCCGATTAAAATTTGCTAACTTTTTTGTGTGTGTGTGTTGTGTGCGTGTCTGAGAAGTAGAGACAGACAAAGAAAGGGAGTAAGAGAGGGGATTAACTGTACAACTAATTGATTAGTGGGGGGTTAGTCGTCGTTGGAGGTGGATGGGTCAGTAATGGATTGTAGATTGTTTGAATTTTGTCAGAGAGAATGTCATCATTAACAATTCACTAAACCTTCTCTTCATTAGTCCCCTAAATGTCCTCGTATCAATATGAACGCACTTTTCCCAATGGAGTGAATGCACAACCACCTAAATTATTCACATAAATAGTCAAATTAACACAATATATATTTCTAGAAATAGTAAAATATTTTGATGCAGTTACATAAGAGTAAAGTTACCAGATTATGTTGGCCCCATCCACAAAAGTTCATTGTATATATTCTATCGTTCTCGTTGGCAAATGTACTCCAATCCTACAAAGATTGAACCTCATTATAAAACTAAAAATTGAAACATTGGAAAGATCATATAATAAGTAGAAATAAACTTGTTTAAACTATACCATTTAATTGTAAGAATCTTATAACAGAACTTCAGGCTA